TCAATTACACTCGCCGGTCGCGCGCAGCCACCAGCTGACTGCCTCGCCGCCCGCCGCCCGCTGGATGCCATTCGGATGCCACTTATAGTCGGCGAGCGCGCACCAATGACGATAATAATGAGGCAAGGTGATCCGTTAACCGTGAACCCTGCGACGAGTATCGAAAAACAAAATGGAAACTGTCGACGGTTTCCGAAATGCTTCGCCCTCGCGAAGTGTCGCCGATTGGAAATTGCATCGTCATCGATGACGGATCGTTGCTTCGGACCCGAGGGAATCACCATTATCAAATTGAAATCTAAAGTCGCAGCAGCCAACTAAAAGGCACTCTTGATACAACTCAGCCACGCCTCTGTCTCTCTTGGCGCCGCTCGCTGTGCACTTTCATTAATTAGCCAGGCAGAGCTTGAATTTCAGCTGCCGTGCGCAATCCGCCAAATAAAAGTACAACAGTTGCGTTCGACGGGCGATGAATAATTAACCGCGGCGTCGCGAATCTCATTGACACGCGCGCGCGCGCGACACAGAGATATCGATTTGCCGGAAAATCAACGGCGCCACGCCCTCTCATCTGCACCAACTTTGCGCGCACCACCTGCCCCGTACGCACGTGCGCGCGAACCGACCACCGTACGAGGCGACCAGTCCAAAAGCGCCTCGCACCGTCTTTATCGATGTCTCATATTTGCTCTGGGCTGCCTTTAGCGACTGTCAGTTGTGCGCGCACTGTGGCACGGCCGATGAATCACGCCACGCGTCTGGACAAAACGAGAGAGAGAGAGAGAAAGAGTTCAAGTCGCTGAACTTTGAACGCGCTGGGGCGTGAGCGCGCAAGCCAACGGCAAATCCGGCGCGCTCTCGCCCTAGTCGCGCCGATTTTTCCCAGCAGTCGCGCTGCGTTAACGCGAGCAATAACTTCGCGCGCGCAATCGCGCCAAATAATCCCGGGCGCTCGCGCTTCGCAAACTTCTCGATACGTGCCGGCGAGTTTTGAGCAAACGAGCTTCTCACCAAGTTTACGCGCCATACTGGCAAATGGAATTTTCATCAGCTTCGCTTCGATCCCCGAAACTTTCTGTTTTTTCTTCTCTTCTTTTCCAAAAGCCCCTGACTTTTGTTTTCGAAAGGAAAGGCCAGAGAGAAGGCTGCGACTAATAAGCTTTTGTTTAGTTAAACTCGTATACATCGGTTAATATACCTCGGGGGCTCACCTCGTTCCACATTGCCGCCGATAGTCGTGTGTGCGCGACTTGAGCATTCGGGGCACGCCGCCGCCACCGCCGTTGCCGCGTAAGAGCGCTCGCAGCTGGGATCTTTCGAATTAGAAATTTCTAGGAATTGGAATGTAACGAGAGTTTGGGCCGGTCGTCGGCGACATTCTTCCTCGTCGGTCGACGATTCAAGAGAAAAATCGGTGTCGCGCTGGACGATAATGATGTGCAATGGCAAATCGATAAGCAGTCGCTCTCTTATCCCCTAGATATATATCTATCGTAGCCTCACTTGTAATCTCACATGCGCGCGCGTTTGCTCGTCGGTGCTATATACACCTTATCGCGCCTATATACATTCTTTCGATCTATTAATGACATAGGCTTTTACTCATCGCTACTCGCTGATTTCGGATTGTAAAGCGATTTATGGGGATCCAACAACAAAAGCCAATCGACATTCGAAAGTTAGTTTCTTTTTCCGCTCGTTGTTCGTCGTTATAATTTGCTGCGAATCGTGCGTCACGGTCATTTTTCACGTTTCGAAATTGCGAAATGTGGAGCTATTTTTAGTGCCATTTACAACGTCATTCCGTACTCGGAACGCGTGTACTTTGTTATAGAACGCTGACTTAGTAATTTCAGGCTAATCAATGATTTATATCGAACGATGACTTTCGTTCCGCTCTCCTATCGAGGAACAAACGCTCTACCGTGATACTCGTAGGATAAGCATTGAGACGTCCCGTCCGGGCGATCCGAAGCGGGCGCGGTGTCGCGATGATTACGAGAGGCGTGCGCGCGAAATCGTGGAAAAATCAGGAAACGGAACGCGACGAAAAGCATCGTGGAAAGGCGACCGAGGCGGCGGTAGAACGGCGAGCGAGGGAGATAAATGGGCAAAGGCCGCGCGGACGCTGACTCATCGAGCGACGCTAGCCGCATAGGACGAATGACCGCGCGCGCGGCGACAAGACAACTTTGTATTCGTCAATATCCGACGCGCGGCGACGACAAACGAGGCATAATTGCCCGACGACGCCGCTTTCGTCACGCGAAGGCGCGCTGATCTCTCGGTATACAAGCGGCCACGCGCGCACCTCGCTGAAGTATATACGACCGCCTAATTCCCGAAACAACCGTAGATCTGGTTTGCGTCAAGGTGCTCTTTCAGCATCGCCGACGCGTGGTCTGACTATTGTTGCGTGTTCTCGGTAGCCACACCGTGATTCATCACCGTCATCGTCATCTTTTCAAATCTCATAATCGTGCGCATACTTAGACCGCTGATGTTTCCCCTTCTATCTGAAATTTCAGCGTCGAGGGGATTTATTATTATTATTTATTTATTTTTTTCTTTTTAACGGACCTTGCGAGAATTCGTTAAAAAGGAAACCATCGCATGTTATTATTCACATGCAAACATCGCGTGCAGAGATATTACAGTATCTACACTGTGACTAACTCGTTGTGCGCGATGCGAGCTATGATGAAATTTGCTATTGCTCCGTATTTCTTTTTTACTGTGTTGCCCAGCTGACAGGTTACGCACTTTATTAAAAAAGCTTGAGGCGATAGTCCATTTGGAAAAGTAGCTTCGTACGAGCGAAAAATGGAGAGAGAAAAAGGCACATCAATAATTACATGCTTATAGGTTTGTCCTCGTAATACACGGATGAATAGTAGTCGAAGCACGCGGCGCGCAAGGATAGCTCGCTCGCGCGTACGTGCGTGTACGTACGTGAGTGTCGTTGTCTTATCAGTCGGCGCGTTTAATCGTTTGACGTCAATGCACTCGCAAACTCATAAATGTGACACCGCTCTCTGCCTCTCTGTCTGTCTCTCTCTCTCTCTCTCGCCCCACGAAACGCTAACCTGAGAAAAGCAGGTTTCCGGGACGCAATTCGGTCCAGTCGACAAAAACTCGCCGATTAGTGATAAAGTCTGTGCGCCTGGTAGTCTGCATACGTACGTGTGTTTCTTTTTTTTCTTTTTCATTTTTTCGCTTCTCGTGAGTCGCAAAATCTAGGCCATTTGGCTACTCCTACTGCTAGCTCGTGGTGCGCGCCGATGAAATATGAAAACGCGCGGATCCAGGAATCGAGACAAGTAAACTGGGCGCCTTGGTAATTAAGTTGTGCCGGATCATCGCCTTAATGTTAAGTCCCCTCGTTAACCGACGCCGCTGATGCGTCCGATTGTCGTGTTGCGTGGATGGACTAAGGAAACGTTCCTCGCCCACGCGAGCAACGTAATTTTCGTTTCTGCCGATGAATAATGTAGGCACATTCGATGGTCGTGCTTCTTGCGCGGAAAGCTCGGCGTTATCTTACGCCACATCAACGATAACGAGACGTCGCGCGACCTTGCAGTTTTGGTCGTTTAACTGTTTTGCGAGCGGCTTCTCGGGCAAACGAAGCGGTTCAACGGTGAAAAATTTGCCTTTGGCGTGCATCTCCTTTCCCATATAGCCTTAATTGGCGTTCAGTCGCGTGCGCACAACGCCTCGCGGCTCATTTTTTATTTCTTTTTTTCCGTCGCGAGTCATGCAGTCATGGCGCTTCACCTAACCAACCGTGAATCGTTCGCTCTCGTCGTGGCTTCTCCGGACGAAATTGAGCTCCCCGACGACGATAAAGGCCGTTAATTACAAATCGCGTGGGTGTGACCGACAGCTACTTTGCTCTTTCCCATTCTCGAGGATGAGTCAACATCTGAATTTATTGATGCTCTTGGAAGATTTCAGAGTGTTTTTATTCTATAGTTGTTACCACAGACAGATGTTACATTTACGCGAAGAAGAGAGGAAGAGAGCTGATTTGGTGTCGTAATACATCGATCAATTTTGTAATTATGTATCGATTAGTGAGCGTCGCTTGCGCGCCCCTTGTCAGGACAATTATTCTCGACAGTCGATCAATCCCATGCATGAAAACTGATGTTTACCTTTACCCGTCACGAAAGAATGACCCGGCGCACTTCTGCGAACTCGTTGCACGTAGAGAACGAGATAATCTCCAATCTTTCGCTCTCATATTATGCAATTGCGTGTTTTGTTTAACGGAATTTTCATCGAAATAGATCGTCGAACAAACGTTTTCTCTGTCTCTGTCTCTCTCTCTCTCTCTCTCTCTCTCTCTCTCTCTCTCTCTCTCTCTCTCTCTCTCTCTCTCTCTCTCTCTCTCACTCTAGCATTTGTGAAATCGATTTTTTAGCGCGCCGCTGCCAAATTGAACGCGAGCTCACGACCGTTGAGAAAGGGAAAAAATAACTTTGTGTTGAATGGAGAAGACGTGTGAGAAGTCAATCGTATTATTAAACTCCGAATAAAAATCCATTTCATTCATTTTTGAGTGTTGCAACACGCATATAGAAAGTATGTATATGCGCGCGCGCGTGTGTGTACGTGTACAGTGATTGCCGGCCGTGACTGGTGATTAAAAGAGCTTGAATAGACGTGAAAAACAACAGCTCCTGACGGTTTTCTCCCGAAGAATAAGCTCTATACACCCAATCGCGTGTACAACTTGATGCTTTTTTTTCTACTGTAATTTGTTTATTATTGTCCGCGCAGGGCAAACAAATGGTCATTACGTACAAACGAAATGAGAGAGAGAGGGGGAGAGAGAGAGAGAGAGAGAGAGAATTCCAGCTCGATTCGGGAACAAATCAATAATAGAAAAAAAAAGCGCGAAAAAAAAATCAAACGGCTTTTGCATGAGATCGCCAGGCACGAGTGAACTACGACACACTAATAAGGAAACGTTTGTTTGTTTACGTTGCTCTCAGCTGTGGGACCTCCAGTTCGGGAGGTAGGAACAGGGCGCGGGCGGCGGAGGAGGAGGTGGAGGAGGCTGCTGCTGCGTCAGCCGCAGCAGCGTGGTTGGTACACGAATCCAGTAGCCAGCAGCAGCGGCGGCACGGCGTCGGCAGAGCTGGCGAAGAGGAAGAAAGTGGTGTTGTCGACGACGAAGAAGACGAAGACGAAAACGACGACCACCGCGACCACGACGACGACAGTCAGAGAAGCAACGACGTTAACAGGCAGTCGGCGGCGGCGGCAGTGCTGCAGCTGCTAGTTCGACGGCAGCGGCGGCAGCATCACGAGGAGGAGGAGGAAGAAACGAGTGAAAGGACGACGGCGTCACCGCACTGCTGCAGCAGCAGCAGCTCGTCGGTGAGGTAGAAGAACCAGATCCAACAGAGCTTTAGGCTAAACGCAGCCAGCAGCAGTTATGGCAACCATCGACGGTCGACCGGCCCAGTATGGGCTCACTCTCAAACAGCTCCGAGAGCTCATGGAGCTCCGGGGCCGTGAGGGTGTCAACAAGGTCAATAACTACGGCGGCGTACAGGAGATCTGCAAGAAGCTCTACACTTCGCCTAGCGAAGGTAAGCCTTTCGCTACGCTCACCGGTTATCTTGACTTTGAGGTTAGGTCAGCACTCTCGTCCTTGCATACATGCTTTTCTGTCCTGGCGAGACAACAAGCTCCTTTTGCAAGTTGAAATAAACGTTATATTTTCTAGCTCCAACGGCTTTTCCTTCTGCGCAGTCTTTACGGCATTTCTCTACTCTTATTTTCTATGTTGTATAACTGTCAGATTGCACCTGTTGGTTTTTGCACTACCTGATCAAATAACTCTTACTTATTTTTTTAGCATACGCTGCTTAGGTTATTGCACTATGACCAAATGATTGTTTTTCATTGGCTGTAGTGCTGATTTAAAAACCTAGTTAAACAGAATGCTTTGTCTCATTTCAATCAGCTTAGTTCCTCTAGATTTGATTTGATTGTTGAATTTATGTTCTTATCCAACAATCACTTATGGTCGTCATAAATTACAACTTTAATAGACCCTTCAGAATCTACTATAGAAATTAATTAATTTATTATGGAGGGGTACATTACAGTTGTAATTACTAAATTATAGTCATGACCAACAAACTGAACTATTTTTCTAAAATAAAAGTAGAGTAACTTCAATTGAATGACCAAATATAAGAAAGAATTTCAAATTGGTATTCCATGCTACAGGTCTCAGTGGATCAACAGCAGATATCCAGCACAGGAGAGATACCTTTGGTTCTAACTCGATACCTCCAAAACCACCAAAGACCTTTCTAACATTAGTTTGGGAAGCTCTGCAAGATGTAACGTTAATCATTTTAGAGGTTGCTGCTCTGGTATCTCTTGGTCTTAGCTTTTATCATCCTCCCCATTCAAATATTGGTAAGATTACAGTGTGAGATTGAAGCCAAAACCAAGAATATTTCAAATAAGTAATGTTACATCTTATTCAGGACCACAAATTGACGAGGATGAAGCCAAATATGGCTGGATTGAAGGTCTGGCCATTCTGATCTCGGTTGTTGTTGTCGTTTTGGTAACTGCTTTCAATGATTACTCGAAAGAAAGACAATTCCGTGGCCTGCAAAACAGAATAGAAGGAGAACATAAGTTCTCCATTATTAGACAGGGGGAGGTCAAGCAGATCTCTGTCTCTGACATTGTTGTTGGTGACATATGTCAAGTATGTGTTATAAAATATTGTAATGCTTTTGCTACATTATCAATGGATTTTGCAAATAACTTGCCAAAATATTTTCTAGATAAAATATGGTGACCTGCTTCCAGCTGATGGTATCCTCATTCAAAGCAATGATCTCAAAATAGATGAATCCAGTTTAACTGGAGAATCGGATCATGTTAAGAAGGGAGAAGCTTTTGACCCCATGGTGCTTTCAGGTATAAGCAAATAATCATCACTAACTTATTGATACCAACAGTATCATATGTTTTTTTTATCCTTTCGATGTTTTTCAAATAAAATACGAACTGGATCAATAAAAATGAATAAACTTTATTGTTTATAGGCACTCACGTAATGGAAGGTTCAGGCAAGATGCTGGTCACTGCCGTTGGTGTGAACTCTCAGGCTGGTATAATCTTCACTCTCTTGGGCGCGGCTGTTGATCAGCAAGAGCAAGAAATCAAGAAAATGAAGAAAGGTACGCATTCTCTCACTTTACAACCAAAGTCTCTGCGCAAAAAATATTTTCCTTCAATGAAAGAAAGAAAAACGATCAAGCATTATCGCTTGAACTTTTTCTCATTCAGGTTTGTTAGTATAACTCATATTAAGGGTGACAGGTTTATTAGCATAAAGACAGGGACTTTAGCGAGTTCTTGCTAATACTTGCATTATTGAAAGGCATGCAGAGATGACTGACTCTTTCTCTCTATCTCTATTCAAATGTTTGTTTGAAGTAAGAACGAGATCTTCAGTTAAAACAGCTGCGGACGCATGGTTCTTCATTTATGATTTGATAATTTTTGTTACATTTACTATCAGAGTTACAGATTGGAAAATTAACATTTGTTCGCCCATTTCTATATAATACTACCTCTTTTTCACTTACGACATAAACCTGACCCGAATCCTTATTTTTCAGCATGATTTCGCATTTCTAGTGATCTCGTGTTCTCCCCTTTTTTCTACTAATAATTAGCCCTATTGCACTTGAGATAATTAACTTTAAAATATCTTGTCTTTAAAAGAATCTTTAACTATACATGCAGCATAAAAATCAACACTTAAATTACGAAGTTACAGAGTAATACAAAAAATGTCCAATGTCATTTATATAGTTTTACGTGCTTGTCTTGTTTAGTCCATCAATCCATCAACCTTGCGTTATTGTATGTGTGACTTCTGTCGTTTGCCGCTGTTCATTTGTACAATTTTCATTTTTCAAAAATTTCAAGTAACTTATGTACAGTCATTTTCAATACCGGCAAACGACAAAAACACTATTCACTGATACTTAAAACCTAATCATTAAAAATAAACACGGAACCTTGCGAACAGACAGTTTTTACGACAATAATATTCTACGTTGAATACATTTTTTAAAACAATACTGGAATAAGAAAGAACACTGCTGTTTATTCGCAAATTCTGTAGTTATTCACTGTTTGTAAAACCTTTAAAAAAGGCCTACAACGAAAAAGATAATAAACAATCATAATGCAGCAGATTGCTAATGAATATTTGTTTTGCATGCATTTTTCTTGTTTAGAAGCTAAAAAGCAGAAGGGGAAGAAGAAGTCGCTATCAGGTGATTAAATTTCAATACCATGTTCTTATATTTTTCTTTTTTTTTTACTTTTAAACGAACAGCTGAAGGGACTACTAAAAATAATAAAATTTTCAAGTTAGTAGCTAGAAATTTTCAGGAACTAACTGTTTCTATCTTTCAAATACAATAAAGCCAGCAGCAATTTTATGTAAATGAAGAAATAAGCTTTAAATCATTCATTTTGTAGTTTAAATTCACTTTCAAAGCACTCAAGTAATGTTCATTTTAGTCCTTTTTACGATAATTAATCTATTTTTCATATCTGTGTCTGAAAATCATCAAATATTTTTACACTCTTATATACTATTTATCTGTATTTTCACAATTTGCGTGACTTTCCTTATCCGCCTTCAGGTAATTGCTGGTTTGTTTGCATTCCAATCCGTTAGTGTTTTTTGACTTGCATTTTGAATTTTTTATGATTGATCTGACACAACTAACTATATTCCTTGTTTTTCTCTTGTCCTAGTAATTCAGCATTGTAAATTTTATCTTATTTTGTCTACTTTATAAGTATTGTAATAATGTATTTGGCACTACTCGTTATTTTTGAATCGGTGTAATTTATTAGTTATCCCTAATACTTTTGCAAATTGTACATAATACAGGTTTACTTGATATGTTTATTCATAACTGTAAGACAGTAACGACATTTCAAAACTTCACTTTTCTCAAGAAATTGACTTGTTTAAACACCATCAATCACATTTGAGCGTTAGAGAAATAAATTATTCTGCAGCAAGAGAACCTGAGCTGTATCTGCATTTAACCTTTAAATCATTTTTCGCGATTGCTCCTTGCAAACAATCAGTCAAAAATTTTAGAATTTTTACATTCATCGCAGTGTTGTACTTGAGCAATGCGAAACAACGTCGTCCGTTAGAAAATAACGAAGGCCTATATATTCACTAATTATTGCGCAATCTGCGTCGGTACAATTGACCAACTAATTCGTTATTATTAACCAATACGCTACGCGAAACTGGCTTTTGAAATTTGAACCGTATGTATCAATTCAGCGCCAAACTATGAAAAGTTACATTTCGCAAAATGAAAGAGTTGGTGCCGGCGTAGAGTGCGATACTTGAAAAATAAAGTAACTGTTGGAAAACATGGAAAACTGAACGAACATTTTGAAAAACTCTGCTTGTTTGCTTTGCTTTCTTGCGACTATCGTATCGATGCAATGCAACGCAACGCGACGAAAAGGTGACGATGGTGCCGATGTAACTAGCAACAGCCATCCAGTGAGTCGTCACGCCGACGGAGGCGGCGAGAATCATCACGGGCCTGCTGATGGCGGAGGAGGTGGTGGCGGTGGCGGCGAAAACGAAGGCGCCAAAAAGGAAAAGAGTGTGCTGCAGGCAAAATTAACGAAATTGGCCATTCAAATCGGTTACGCGGGTTCGGCCATTGCCGTGCTGACGGTGGCAATTCTAGTCACGCAGTTTTGCGTCTCGACGTACCATATCAACAAGGAGGACTGGAAAGCGGAGCATTTTGGCGTTTTCGTGAAACATCTAATCATTGGTGTGACCGTCCTCGTTGTCGCCGTGCCTGAGGGTTTGCCCCTCGCTGTCACTTTGTCGCTCGCCTATTCTGTGAAGGTAAGTCGAGCACCGGCCCCTCTTTCGAGACGAGTATGCTAATGCGCTCGCGAACCCGCGCACCGCAGAAAATGATGAAGGACAACAACCTGGTGCGGCACCTGGACGCGTGCGAGACGATGGGCAACGCCACTGCCATCTGCTCGGACAAGACGGGCACGCTGACGACCAACCGAATGACAGTGGTGCAGTCCTACATATGCGAGAAGCTGAGCAAAACGCTGCCGACCTTCAACGAGCTGCCGAGCCACCTTGGCAATCTGATTGTTCAGTCGATCTCGATCAATTCGGCGTACACGTCGCGCATAATGCCCGGGCAGGATCCGACCGACCTTCCGATGCAGGTCGGCAATAAAACCGAATGTGCCTTACTTGGATTCGTGCTCGCTCTCGGCAAGAATTACCAGACGGTGCGCGACGACCAGCCCGAGGAGACCTTCACCAGGGTCTACACCTTCAACAGCGTCCGCAAGAGTATGTCGACCGTTGTGCCGCGCGAGGGCGGCGGCTACCGGCTCTTCACCAAGGGCGCTTCCGAAATCATTATGAAGAAGTGCGTACTGCACAGCGTCAACCACTAAACCGGTGCCGAACGGGCGCTCACTTACGCGCGTTTGTTCCTTGCAGATGTGCCTTTATTTACGGTCGCGACGGCAACCTGGAAAAGTTCACCAGGGACATGCAGGAACGCCTGGTGAAGAACGTGATCGAGCCGATGGCCTGCGACGGCCTGAGGACAATCTCGATCGCCTACCGGGACTTCGTGCCGGGCAAGGCAGAGATCAACCAGGTACACATCGACAACGAGCCCAATTGGGACGACGAGGAGAACATCGTGGCGAACCTCACCTGCCTGTGCATCGTCGGTATCGAGGATCCGGTCAGACCCGAGGTACCCGACGCCATCAGAAGGTGCCAGAAAGCCGGTATCACCGTGCGCATGGTCACCGGTGACAACATCAATACTGCCAGGTACGCGCTCACACGCTCGACCGATCGGCCCACGGCTCTCCACTGCATTGGCGTTTCCCTAACGTAAGCCCTAACGTGTGTTCCGTTCGCTTCCAGATCAATCGCAATCAAGTGCGGCATTGTCAAGCCAAACGAGGACTTCCTGATCCTGGAGGGCAAAGAATTCAACAGGCGGATACGCGACGCGCACGGCGAGGTGCAGCAGCAGCTGCTGGACAAGGTCTGGCCCAAGTTGCGCGTGTTGGCGCGCTCGTCGCCCACCGACAAATACACCCTGGTCAAGGGTATGATCGATAGCAAGGCCACGACGAATCGCGAGGTGGTCGCGGTCACGGGCGATGGCACCAACGACGGTCCCGCTCTGAAGAAGGCCGACGTCGGCTTCGCCATGGGCATTGCCGGCACGGACGTGGCCAAAGAGGCCTCTGACATCATCCTCACCGACGACAATTTCTCGTCGATCGTCAAGGCAGTGATGTGGGGCAGAAACGTATACGACAGTATCGCCAAGTTTCTGCAGTTCCAGCTAACGGTCAACGTCGTAGCCGTGATCGTTGCCTTCATCGGCGCCTGCGCCGTACAGGACTCGCCGCTCAAAGCTGTGCAGATGTTGTGGGTCAATCTCATCATGGATACCCTCGCCTCGCTCGCCCTCGCCACAGAGATGCCTACGCCCGATCTGCTGCTCAGGAAGCCCTATGGCAGAACGAAACCCCTCATCTCCAGGACGATGATGAAGAACATTCTTGGCCAGGCCGTTTATCAGTTGGTCGTCATTTTTCTTCTCCTCTTCGTTGGTAAATAGTCTGCTTTCTTCTTTCGCTCTTTCCATCCGTACGATCCTTTATCCCACTTTGTGATTTTCCCTCCACAGGGGACAAATTTTTTGACATTCCCCCTGGCCGAGAGGCCTCTAAGCATGGCGCACCCTCTCAGCACTTCACCATCATCTTCAATACATTTGTCATGATGACGCTGTTCAACGAATTCAACGCCAGGAAAATTCATGGCCAGCGAAACGTCTTCCAGGGAATATTTACCAACCCCATCTTCTATTCCATTTGGATTGGCACTGCTTTGTCACAAGTTAGAGACTTGCAATTACTTCTTTCGACAAATTATTTCTAATGAAACTTTGAACAAACTTTTTCGTTTACTTCTAGGTGGTAATCGTCCAATTTGGTAAGATGGCGTTTAGCACAAAAGCTTTAACTCTAGAACAGTGGTTGTGGTGTCTATTCTTTGGAATCGGCACGCTACTGTGGGGCCAATTAGTCACGACGATTCCTACGCGCAAGATTCCCAAAATCCTTGCGTAAGTCATGCAACAAGCAAACTTATATTATTACTCTTTTTTTACATAGGTGACAACCTTTGATAAAGCAATTGTATCTATTTCTTCGAATGAGCGTCATTTTGCTCACATTTTCTCAACTTCTCTCTACTCTATCTTGTTACTTAAATTTTTTTCAGAACAAGTTTTTTTTCTTTCTGCCAAAAATTTCTTTGTGTCCGATAACGACTGTGATTTTAATACTTTCTAAAATACAACAGGTCGATTATTGGATCCAATGAAATTGTTGCAAATGCTTTTTGTTTCAACTTTTTTTTCATTTAAATTTTCGATACTGTGAGTAGCTAACGAGGGAAGAAAGCTGGCGTATGGTGCCTAAAAATTCTCTAAAGAATCGAAAGATGAAAATTTGATTCACAGTAATTGTATAATTTGCAATTGTTTTAAAATTGACTAGCTAAAACCTTAATACTTTCTTGACTTTTGGATTAATTGCTTAATTAGTCGCCAGTCGGAAAGAACAATTAGATTTGTAATAAGTAATGAGTAGTCCTAGCCTGGACCTATCTGTAGTACGTGGTAGTGACCTATGCATGTTAGAGACGATTTCCAAATCCACGCAATTCTCACCTAAAACGCGAACTATCGCAACTAACTCGATACTTTTCTTTTTTTTTAATTATTTTTTCGCTCCGGTAGTTTTCCCGCTCTCGATCCTATATCGACCCTATTATCCCGCTTCTTCCGTACTTTAAAGATAAAAACAAACCACGCTGAATGTTGCATGCTTAAAACATTTTTGATACACCGAAAGAGACGTACTTTGAAAGTCTGCGTACTTTTGTAAAAGATTTAGATTTATTAGATGTATCGATAAATTTAAAGTGTCAAAGAGCCTTTTTTTTCTTTTTTTTTTTTGGAAACAAATATCAAAGTAATTTTATTTTCAAAGGAAGAGCTTTTTTCAAAATCAATTTCTCTGCTGAACTTGAACTGTTACGCTTTTTCCTTGCTTTTTTAATTAAAAAACAACAGAAAATTTGTAACACAAACGTCACACTTTAAATCGCTTGAACTGTTCTTGGGTGAACAATGCAAAAGCAATAAAACGATGTGGTTGTTTGTCAAAGAATAGTCAAAATCGAGCAATATTGGATTATTATCTTTATTTGCTGAATCCCTTGTTACATTCTTTGCCCCTCGAAAAAAATATGGACTGACAGTTGAAAACCCGAATTTGCTGCAGATAAGTTTTGAAAGACGAACAAAACAAAAAAAACGAAAAAAGCATACGCCTCTTATAGATTGGGAGACATTCGGTTACCCGCCGGCAGACCGCTGCGATTCCTTGGAATTGAATTACCCCATCGTCAAACTTCGACGTTCCCTGAATCCAATCCCGCTCCTAGCACGTCCTGTGATACCTGAGAGCTTGCGAATTTACAAAAACGACCAAGTGCGAATATACGTGAGGTGATTCTTCAACTTGACCTCCTTTGTAAACTCAATTTTTTTCCGACCCGCCACAAGGAAACGAACGTGTTTATAATATACTCCAACGAAAATGGCTAACATGCTAACAATACCTAACACAATTATCCAAACAATTGTACGGCGAAATGAACTCGCCGCATCGACCGCGATGTGGCCATTGTTCATATAACTGCGAGAAGCGATTGAAGCACGTGTTAAAGATGATGTAAAGTTACGATGACCTACGCTTTAAATAATCCACATAGACACATTAACACACGCCAGACCCGAGAATCAAGGAGAATAAGTAATCATCACGGTTGTGTGAAACAGCCTTTTAGATGAATACTGAACGCGCTCTGCATGAAGTGACAATCGTCATTGCGATCGATCAATGTGATTTTCACTTGTGTTTGTATAATTTTTCTGTGCATTAGTTCGCGCTGTTGGCTTCAATGAATGTCCCTGTCAGTGGCGTTTCTATTGAAACTAAAACGGGTGTGAATTGAATGTTGAACTTGTAATAACCTTATAGCTTTTACCTTGGCATCGATGATTAAAAGTTTGATCGTCGTCGGTGCAGCTTTCACAAGATATTACTTGTATTTGATTATTCTGTAAGAATGAACGTTTTATTAGCTCCTTAGATGAATTATTGTTTTTATAGTTGACATTAGATAAATTTGTGTTAGCATTGTTAAACGATGCCTCGTTTCGAGGAAGAACGGGCATTCTTCCGAAAAACGACAATTACCAATTTTCAATCTAGCTTGCTTAGCTGAGAGTTGACCCCTTTTAAGAACGACGTATATTTTTATATATCAGATATTGTACATGATCACATTCACCAATTCGCTACCGATATATACTAACTTTTGTACACGGAACGAAATGAATGAACACATAAGGCGCGTTAATATGGCGACTAATCAAATAACAAACGAGCTACAATAACGACGAGAATCAAAATCACTAATATATGTATTAACAATGTATATATTATTACTACTATAAATTAGATGATCATTATCACCAGGCACTACCTCTGTACTACACAAAAACCATTCGCATCTTTCTCTCTCTATCTCTGTCTATCTCTCTTCGAGTCTTTATTTTTCTTTCTCAAAGCTTATATTTTCTTTCGAAGAACGCAGCTACTGCTACAAACTTTGATACACTGCGTGGAGCAGCAGTTGGTAGATGAGATCACGTATATACATAATTTTTTTTAATACAATATTGCCATCAATCGTTGTCATGATTATTCATTTTTAGTATGTAAGTCATGTATCGCAATACGTCATTTACATGTTTACGGATGATAAAAGAAAGGCATCTGTCCACCTTCTTTCTTCTCATGTGTCGACTCATGTTCGTCCACCACATTTGTTTATGTTTATTTTTTTTATTTCATTTGAAATATATTTTTTTGTCGTGGGTAACTTGCAGATGAGGCTATATATGTGTTGTGAAAAGATGCCAGTCTGGAAAGGCTTGCAGTACGTTTGAAAGCAGTTCTTGTGTTGTTATTACTCAGCTGTAACGTTAAACTTTTTTATACAAAAATTTAAAAACTGTCTAAAATGTAAAAGATATTTGCATTGAAACTATAATATTTTGATTAAAAGTAATGGATCGGGTGGAAAAATCTCTTTTGATGTCAAATATCTGTGATGCGAAGAGCATCCGGATTTCACATCTCTATAGTTTCAACTATGTAAAGCACCGAAGATAAATTATTGTGGAGTACGACCTTTCCAAGCTAGTATTGTCACAACAACAAACTCAACCTCAATTCAAAGTTCTCCAATAGCGATGTCCATCAAACGACATCCATCGATCATTATTCCATTATTCTTTCAACCTATCTGTCTGTCAACTTCTCTCTTCAATCTCCGAAATAAAAAAAAAACCTTGATTTTCGACGATATTACGTCTTCTTCGAGTCCCCGGTGGAAGAGTCGGCGCCCTCCGTCCGGAGGAGTGAGAGGAATGAAGGACGCACCTGCTGATCGATTAATTGACAAACAAAAAATGCGAAAAGCAAAAGAGAATCGAAATTCTAACCGAAGGATACGTGTTGACTAGACCCTAATAAGCATAACGAAAGAAACAATGACTAAAAGAAAATAAGTGGAGACGGTCGGCGCGAAATGCGAGTAATATGAAGAATTTTTGGTTTAATGTTTTTTAAAAACAGATGGGGCCGCGGCCAGCCGGAAGATATCGGCGTTATCAATTTGGGAGACGAGAAATACGATCCAGACTCGACAAAACAGCCTCGCACCGGACAAATTCTCTGGATCCGTGGTCTAACACGACTGCAGACTCAGGTAACTATCCCTCTATCCCTATCTCACTCTCTCTTTCTTTCTCTCATTACTTTCTCTCTCTCTCTCTCTCTCTCTCTCTCTCTCTCTCTCTCTCTCTCTCTCTCTCTCTCTCTCTCTCTTTCTCTCTGTCTTCCGTGACTCTTTCTTTCTGTCACTTCACTAATTCGAGAAGAAATACAATCGACATTCTAAGACCCTCATTTTGCGATATTATTCTAGTATTTATAATTAGTAATCTCATTATTACATTTCTAGGGGGCAAAAGAAAAAAATAAAAGAAATTTAAAAAATTTGATCAAATAATAGACCAAAATAGGCATCATCAACTTTCTATTTCAGGAACAAAAGGATTACTCGTGACTTCTATATCTATCTTTTCTTACTCTCTATTACTTCTCTCTTTTCTCCCTTCTCACCATCTATTATCACTGTCTTTCTCTATACGTCTTATCTCTTTCGTACACTATCATTTTCATCCTTCTTTCTATTTATCACTTGACTTTTCAAATTATTCTGTTTATTCATTATTTTTTTCTTTGTCTTCGAATGATTTTTCAACTTGATATATTTGGAGCGAACCACCTGGACATCGCTTCGCAACTTATATTAAGAAAGTTAATTAACGATCGCGCAGTGTAGAATACGAGATTTCTGGTACAGGAATTATTTAGGCAATAAGCTTGAATGATGATTTTATTTATAAATTGAGTATACCAAATCTCATAAGCTCACTATTCACTTATCACCGTAGTGAACATCAAAAGTGCATACATAGGATTTTCGGAAAAATGAACATCACATTGTACACGTTATTTTTTTTCTCGAGAAGGTTAACGATGATCAACATTTATCTATACTCTTATACTCTTTCTACTGTTTACTTTTGCCCAATTCTTTATCCGTTTTTACACTATTTTCTTATGTGTACTCTGATGACATGCTGCAGAACTCAGCGTGAAAAATTTTTCCAATATCGTCGCGCCTCACTTCTTTTTATTTTTATTACTTTATTTCTTAATTTTCAAGCAATAAGATGAAACTATCACGTCAAAAAAAAGGCATAACGTTAAACAAAAAAATCTTCCTTTCTGATATAAAATTATCTGTATAATAAAAAATAACCAAGATAAATAAAACAAATTGTACATAACTAAACAAATGATAATCGTAAAGAAACAAAAAAGTGGAGGATGTTCTTCAAAGATATTACCTCCAGGTCAGTGGCACGTACCTCGCCAATCACGAAGCAATAGTTTCTTTCTTTTTATGTATGTACATCGCGTATTATCTTTCCTTAGCATTTTTTCAACTTCTATTAGAATATCGTAGTGACATGTACATTTTTTATTTATAAACTCTTAATATTTTATACATTTAAAACATTTAAAAAATTCTTACAATACTTTTTTTGTATACAATCGCACTTCCGGCAAATCAATTTTTATAAACAAAAATTTTCCGCGCCTACCTTTCTTTCTATGTATGTGTACATATATTCCATTAATTATTTCTGTTTTTTCAATCAAAGATATCTATCTGTTTTACCCCCGCCACCTATAAAACTTCTTGATTTACACTCAAAACGAACGATCATCGAACGATGTGCGAATGTCAGTTTTATCACTTTTTGAATGTAAAGTTATGAGATAGTTTCCAACAAATTGTTGATCTATACACGACGAGATATTTCAGGTATTATTTGCGTCAAGTAATGTCGCACTGAACATGTAAGTTGGTATAATAATGAAAAACAGAAACAGTGAATAGAAAAGTTGTAAACGAATTTAAATGTTATGGATAATAATAGTAAACATTAATATTTTTTTCTTAAAAATAAGTGAAAGTCTACAACAGGTATTTAAGTATATAATCATGCGTATTTGACGATAATATAAGCATCGTGATAAATGGTAAAAGAAAACAAGCTTTTTCGAAGTTTTAAAGACATGGAAAACAATAAAACTTCATTGATAAAAATGTGAAAAATTATGGTGACACGAAGTTGAGTAAAGTTATTGATTTCGATTATATCGTGTCGCAACGTATAGAAGAGGAGCTATATAGGAACCAATTAGAAATGGTCCACACAGTCCTCAACCAATTTCTTTCTCTCTATACCTTTTTTCTCTCTATCTCTTTTCCATTTATATATGTTGAAGAACGAAAAACTGACTTATAAAAAAAAATGAAAAATAAATTCGTACTTGTTACTTCTCACTACATTGCATTATTTATGGATAGTTTCCACTGTTCACTTCTCTAAGTGTGTAGATGTGCGATGACAATTCTCTTTTTTCTCATGGTGAACGCGAGTAATTTAAAACTTCGAAGAAACTGAGCGATTTCTTCGACATGTTCAATCTGTTTTTTATTTTATTTTTTTTAATACTTTTTTTCATTTCATTTTTCGCGTATAAACGTCCCACCACAACAATCGGGCTTCTCATTTACACGTGATGCAGCGTGAAAATGCCAAAGCAGCGAGAATCAGACACAACATCAGAGAAAAAGGCTTCGTTTGCACGAAAGGGAATATTTTGCACCGTTTGATTGCGCGCGGCCTCGCAACGCATGGTATTACACTTGTTGTATAGCGTTAGAAGGCGGACGGGGGAGGGGGGTAGAGAGACGACTTTGATGGATACAGAACGAGGCAGAAAAACAAAAGAACGAAAGATATGATTGCACATCAATTCATCGCGTCGACAAGGGAAAAATTGCACATTTTTCTGTGAAATCAAGTATATGTTATATTTTTTTAAATACTTTATTTTGTAATACGTAAAAAACCTGAAATGCGTCAAACTTCAGGAAAGATTCAGAAAATATTGGAGCATGTGTGATTGATTGAAGAAATTGTGTATGCGTGTGTCTATGTATGTAAATATAATGATAATTTATGCACTATATAATTATGAGGAAGTAAAAGTATATATGAATGTGAGCAAGCAGAAATCACAAACAACGGCTAGCATAAGCTAATCATATCAAATTGAATCTGTAACCTACTTTCAGACGAGCAATAGAACTCTGGTGCAGAATGTATCTGTGACAGGCAGATCCCCCTCTCAGGATTACCATAATATGGTTAGTTCGCAAGTCTCTCCAACTCTCCGCATTGTTTGGCCGTCTATTAATACTTATTATTAATCATGATTTCACGTACTTATTTACGTTTGTTTTCTTTAATGACTACTCCTTAATTTTTCTTTCTATATCTATCGCCTATTTATCCGCAGCGTACTTCTGTCTTTTTGTCTATATATATATTATATTACCAACAAGCCGATTTTTTGTTTTTTTTACTTTGCGCGTTTTTTCTTGCAAAACATGCAATTCTTTTAATAAGCCAATTCTCTCTTTTATTTTACTGATTCCTTGTCTCACTATTATCCATGTTCTAAAACTTTGATACCCACAAATAAAAAAGATTCATTTGTATTATACACTTTTTTCCTTCAATGCGAAATTTTGCTTTCGTCGAAGTATCTCGATTATTTATCAAATTCTTTGTATATTATTTTTTTTTACTCCCTCCCTATAATATCACTTGATAATCATCATTATTCTCTGTATCCTTTTCATTGGAAGCCTATCCCATCCTCATAATTCTCCATTTTTCATTTTCTTTTGCGCGCTTCTTTATAATTAATGTCATGTTCTTTAATCATTTTTGCAACCTTATTATTACTATAATGAATGTTATACTCGATGACATGTCGCATGCAAACAAACGCGAAATTTGGCGCGTAAATATGTTTCACATAAACGGGCTGTATACATGAAATATTTTCAATTTTTATCTATGTTCATGTGGACAAAAAAAATTATATATTACGGATATGCCTGATGTCGCGTTGATACACGATTTTTATTCACACTTCATCTATCTTTTTCACGTTTTCTTTATTCATCGCGAGTTTGATATCGCCTCGTATGGAATTCTGTGCATTCGCTTCATTTATTCACATTCACGTCGCGTACTGCATATTTTTCGCATTTTTTTCAATGCGCCATTTTTCACAATATGTCGTCGAGCAGTTTTAAATCGATCTATCTCCTCTCTTTTCTTATTTTGCTTATTTTCTCAAATTTTGTTTATGATTTTTAGTTTTTTTTTAACGCGAACGCAGTGTATTTATAGTTGTGCGTCATCAAAACAAAATTTTTTTTTCACTAATGCTGTCATTGTTCAGTTATGTATATGTGCTTCTGTATGTGTATCATAATGTTAATGATGTTAATTATAAAATTTTAATAGGTCTATGACCGTCCTTTTCACGCATCGTTCAGTCGTTGTGTGAAAAGTGACAAATAATATATAAATATTTAAATATATTATTGAAACGTAATGTGCTTCTCTGTTCGACGAGAAAAACATACGCGTGTAAAAAATGTATTTCTCAACATTATCTTTTCTCGCTCACATTGTTTTTTTAGTCTCTTTTTAAAATAAATTCTTTGTTGGAGTGACTGTTTCTCCGCGAATTTCGTTGTCACCAGTCGCTTTTGTTTGTTTGGAAAAGATTTCACGAACCGCTTCGAATATTTCACGCATTTACTCTATTTCATGTTTTTTTTTATTTTACCTGTTTTCTTAATCCCAGAGAATGAAACAGCCGGTGCCTTTCATTAAACTTTATTCTTTATTGTTATAATTCGAGCCCACGAAATGTTTTTCTATTTTCAAATCTGGCGCCAAATCACACGCAGTGAACGAAATGAAAAATTCCAAACAAGACCATCCCGCGATATCAATTTCATTAGTTACATTTGAAAGAGAAACAAACGAAGCGACACATTATGCAATTGATGTTGATACACCAATGTTAAAAGTATTCGAAAGAAAACCAAAAAGCTATGTGTAACGCGTTTTGTCAGAAAAAGACAAGAATTGTACCGTACCAGTTAATACGTGAACTAAGACTGATGATAATTCTATTGTCGTTTTATTAGCCAGTGGAAACCATACGAGAGACTGAGGTATAAACACGGCGGCA